CCATGCATATACTGCAAATGGTTGAAGAACAGCTTTTAATTTACTTTGGGTTGTTTTTAGGCGTTTCTAGGTGATTTTACACACATGATAAGAGGTTAAGTTAGATTTTGAATACAGGATTTTACTTGTAACAGAGTAACTGTTGTCTCTGTGTGTCTTTAAGCGTATGTTTAATGTAACTAATCATAAGTACTGTGGGTGGGACTGGGACATTGAGAGAAGCGGCTGCAACAGAGCCGAAGTTGAACACATTTTAATGTATTTATTTTATCGTCCATCAGATTAAAAAACAACAATACAGATCATCGTAAAAAAAAAAAAGCTGAATATTGGATCCAATAACTGTCCAGGCTGATAATCTGTCTCTCTCTAACCTAAAACAACACAAACTCTTCGTTGGTGTGACAGAATTTGTACGTCTGTGTGTCCAGTTGAAGTTGACATTGTTGCACTCAGAAGTCCTTGAGTTGCAGCGAGTATTTGCTGAGTGTGCCGGCGCTGGACCCTGACACAAGGTGGGAAAAGTAGTTCAAACACAGAAACCTCCAAGGTGACTCTTTACGTGACCGACGCTCCTTCAGCAGGCTCTGCATGTAGGCCGAGCGAGCACAAGACTATCGGCTCTAATCGCTGCCTGTTGGTGCAACTCACGTCTCCCCTTCACAGGACCACATGTACCGTTTATAGACTATCTGTGCTGAGCGTTATGAGTCACCGCTGCGTCGTACAAACGCCGATTAGCACCTCTTCGACACATAATGACACTGGAGTGTTGTTATGTGCAGCTAATGAAACGCTGCATTCCTGGACTAATTTAATAAAACTCAGGTATTCCAAACATTATCCCTCTGTATTTAAAGGCGATAAGACTTCCAAAGAGACGGTTTTTTTTAATCTGAGTTAAAATATGCATTAAAAAGAAGTGCCAGTGTAATGTGATGCAGATGGTGAATGCAGATGGTGCAGCTCTCTCCATACTGTGTGCTGACTGCACAGATTTCCTACAGAGCTCATCCATCACCCCCAGAGACCCACAGCTCCACACACACACACACACACACACACGTTTCACAAAATACAATCAATAAAGTGACGTTCGCTGGGCTGCCAGCAGTCAAACATGATGCAGCACTGCGCCACACATACATTAACATCCGCTCCCATCCCCCCCACCCCTCGCTGCCCTTGGGCTGGAAGAAACTGCAACCCCAACAACACACCGGCAGACTCTGGAGTGATCGCAATGAAACAAAATGGAAATGTAGGATGGAGCTTAAGAGAGAGAGAGAGAAGACTGTATTACATAATATACTCAGGCACATCTGTAGCTATCACATGATGTTCAATAACAACAGCTGAGGCTATGTGGAACAAAACAACAGACTCAAAAAAGGTGAGAACGGGAGGATTAAAATCAGCTGCAGGGGCAAAGATTGGAAGCTTTAATAAATAATAAAACACAGGCAGCGACAGATTAAAAGATCCCATCCCCCCCCTCCATGTGACACTTAACATAAAACTGGATTTATTCTCGACACAACGGCTCCGTGGCAGTTCCAGGTTGTGATTTACAGCTCAGCACCACTGCAACACTGGACGGAGGCACAGTGACTGTTTCTACTCTTTCATCTACTTCATGAAGAGGAGGATGTTTACACTCGTTCATTCACTGTGATAGAAAGCAGCGACTGGAGAGGGGCAGAGGGTTTGTCGTGGATACAGCTTCACTAACTGTGTGTTTAGGGCTGTCAGTGACTTTTTGGTGGCCCAACAGCACGATTCAATATCAACCTGCCTCTGCCTTTAACGTCTTAAAACACAAATCCTGAACACGAGGGGCGCTTGTGGCGGTTGCTTGCCAATAGCACGTTTTTTAATTATCATAAAAATGAGAAGATCACTACGTCTTGCTTAACTTGCAGCGTGGTTTAAACTTGTCCACTGGTGAGAAATCAGACGCAGCCTGAATGCGTAGTAACATTTTAAGGACGTAGAAGTTAGCCAGGGCTTATCTTAAATGCTGAGCCCTATAAAAAATGTTTTTCTGCCCTCTTCTTTCTGGTATGAAGCTTTACAGACGAGCAATGCTGGTGCATAATAACAGGCTGTGTGCTGATGTGCAGACAGTTTCCTCTTGTTGCCATTTACAACCAGTAACATGCAAAGCGACACAGAACAGAGCCTTTATTGAACTGAGACCAGAAATAATCTAGTTTATCATTCAAAACCTTCCAGCTTCATCAAACCCATTAAAACACACAGCGTCTCACATGAACATCCAGGATATAAAGGATCCCATTGAGTATGTTGAGCAGCTAAAGGCCTCAAGTAACCAAATATGTGATATTTTCTTTTAATTTAATCTGTGTTCTTGTGGCTTTTATCGTATAAATCTGCAGTGATCCTGACCTGACTCGCAGACGACGGATCCCGGCTTCAGCTCCAGCATCATGGTGATGGTGGCGATGTCGGTGGTGTAGAGGATCTGCGTGCGGTGCGGCAGCGTGACCGTCCACAGCTCCGGCGTCGGGTGGAGCACGTGGACCCAGCCGCCTTTGCTGCAGGTGACCTTGGACCCGTACCGCTGGCCGATGAGGTCCGTGGAGTGGCGAATGACTCCGTAGCGCGTCTGCGTTTGGGCGCCCTTCTGCACCTTGACCGGCATCATGGATTCATGGCCCATATAGACGATGGCAACGTCCCCGTCCTGAATGAAGTCCGAGTACTCCACAAAACTCATGGTGAAGCCCTGTCGCTCTGTATCCGGGAGGAAGGAGTCAACACACAGAACTATTTAGTTATCAACAAATAATGTAAAGTACAATCTTTATTCTGTAGGTGACAGATTCATATTCTGATCATACACAGCTGGAAGCTCTTTTAGGACATAAAAATACACTTTTAAATGGGTTTCCCCAATCTGAGGACCTTCTGATTCTCACCAAAATGGAATATTTGTTGACTTTTAGGTTTTGGGCTGTTGATCGGACAACACAAGATCAATATCCTCCTGAGAACCAAGGGAAAAAGTGTCTTCCAATTTTATTGATCGATCATTTTTTAATTCGTCCAATCCTTGAGATATCATTGGAAAGGCCAGGATGTCCTCTTTAGTAGGGTAGCTAAAATAAGTCAAGAGATATAGCCCAAAAACCACTACAGAGTACATCAATGAATAGGATGGGTCTCAGGGGGATATGAACATTTGATCTTGGTCAAATAGTTGACAGATTTAATCAAAATGTGTTGCTGCTTCGACTTGCTAATGTTAGCCACGGCAGCCGTTAGCACACAGAAGAGCCGTTGGTGCCTCCTCGACCTTCTCTAATAGTTTAAAACCAACACAAAAACCTTTTTATTCCATGTATTAGTTGTCCTTATAACTGGACCCTTCACATCATATTGGAGTTATAACGTTATATTACGAATTTCCAACTTGTAATTAGCATTAATGTGAACTTCCAGGTCGTGATTGCGGTTGGGGGGAAACATATAAAATCCTATAAATCCGATTTGACAACTGATGATACAAACAAATATGGCCGCCTCACATCTTCGCGAGTGACGATGAGGTGCCAATCTGTGACGCAATAAACACGTTTATTTTCTGTTAGTGTTATTTTAGTGCCATTTTTAAAAAGCATAAAAGTGTACTTTCACGATTCTCGTGGTAATATCGTGTATTGGTGATTATTTTAGGCCAAGATAATGGCGATGATAAAACGTTAATGAGACGTTAGTTCAGTTTATAACTTCACAATCTCTCTCTGCTGTCTGGATGCCGGGCACTCGTTGCCACGGTAACCAGCTCTCACGTCGAACCTCTGCCACGCGCATAAAACGTTATTTTTTAAATGTTCAGCATCTTTCAAACCGAAGAACAACGGCCGTTTTCAACATAACGTTACATTAACTACACAGACAGAGAGGGAGAAAGGTCGATTCACTTTGCTTCTTCACGACAGAGGAGAAACGGACGAAAACATGTCGGACAACCTAGAGAAGCTGTGAGTTACGTTATTTAATGCTTTCATTTGTGGTGTTTCTGGGAGGAAATGGTGCTGGGTGGGTAAAATGGGTTTAGTCACATCAGTCTCAGTGGTTAACTGACGCTAACGGTAAGTTACACAGCCAGCTAACGGTAGCGCTGTGGTTTAGGGATCACTGACACGGTTCCTAACTTTAATTTCTACATTTGGGAAATTATTAACGTGATTGCTAACTTTCAAACATACAAAAAAAAAAAAAAAAAAAAAAGGGCACAGTGTAAAACGTCTGAGAGCAGCTTGAGTGCTAACGGTAGCCACCACCGCAGCCGTTACGCAGAGCGCGTGAAAGAGCCGTTGGTTTCCCCCCCCCACCTACCGTCTCTAGCAGAAGCGTTCTACGGTTGTAACGGACACCAACCGTCGTCCGTTAACGACTCTATTCCCGCTCCTGCAGGCGGACGGCGGCCGACAGACTCCGGTTCATTCCGCACACACGTGGTTTTGTTTTTAGAGGAAGTTGAGTGGAGCCGACCGGAAGCTGAGCCGCTTCACGGATCTGTGACGGTGTTACCGCGAAAAGAGTCCGTCCAGCTGCTTCATACCTCTGCTACTGCTGACAGGGAGGGAACGTAAAGTCTGAACACTTACTGACCAATAAGTTACTATAATACTATAAAATACTAACAAATACCTCCTATAGTGTTACACCATCACTTATATATTATAATGTTATATTCACATTACTGATGTTCTCATATGGAAGCAGCAACATTTAACTAATAACTGATAAA